GCTTTAGTCCTGTTTAGGGTTGTTGTTTTTTTTTTTTCAATACCTGAAATTTCCTGGAAACTCCGTGAGCCAAAGCTCAGCTGAGTGGGAAACAAACGCTGCTGGGAGCGCGGCTGCCCTGGGCAGGTCCCGGCCGGCCGGCCCAGCCCCGCGGGACATTCCTGCGCTCTGACGCCTGCTTGGGGCCGAGTTTCAGCTTCTCCGTGTTTCACCCAGAAAGCAGAAAGCGCCTGGTTTGGGATTCCAGGAGAAAGCAGGGAAGAGATGTGCACGGCTCTAGGCAGGGCCAGAAAGCAAGGAAAAGAGGAGGTGGGAGTGGGAATGGGACACGAGAAGGGAGGAGTGGAGGGCAGAAGGAATAAGTGAAGGTAAGGGAAGGAATAATGAAGTGAGAGAAGGAGCAGGGATGGAAAGGAGCCAGGGAAGGTGGCAGAGCTCCCCCCAGCCACCCCCCAAACCAGGGTACACAGATACCCCCAGCCTGGCATCCAATTCTTCCCTTCCCAGCCCCCACAGCCTGATCCCAGCACGGGGCAGGGGAGAAGGGGAGGAAGGGCTGCAGTGTCCCCTCCGTGCCCACCTCCTGTCCCGGCAGTGTCCCCCACCCTTGTGGCTGCAGTGTTCCCCCTCTGTGCCCACCTGGGGCTGGGCACTGTCCTTGGAGGGCCATGGACCTCCCTCAGCCCCTCTGTCCCACCCTGGCATGGCCTGGACTTGTGCCCAGCCTGGCCCCTTCCCTTCCCAGAGGGACCTGCACAGAGGGAACAGAGCAGAGCTGATGGAAGGGGCTCTCAAAGCCCCCAGCCCAAACTGGGCAGTGCCAGTCCCAAACTGGAACCTCCAAGCCCAGCCCCTGGCAGAGCAGGAAACACCTGCCCCGCCCAGCCAAACTGAATAAAACAAACCAAACCACACATTTCACAAAATAAACCCTCTCCTTCTTCTGTTTCTTTAAACCTGAGCTGACCTCAGCTTTAGGGGAGGCTCCAGCAGCAGAACCAGGAGCTGCTCTGCCCTGTCCCGTTGTGGCCACAGCACTGGCCACTCCCCGTCCCACCCGTGGCCGCAGCACTGGCCATTTCCTGTCCCGACGTGGCCACAGCACTGCCCATTCCCTGTCCCATTGTGGTCACAGCACTGGCCATTCCCTGTCCCATCCATGGCCACAGCACTGGCCATTCCCTGTCCCATTGTGGCCACAGCACTGGCCATTCCCTGTCCCAACGTGGCCACCCTGTCCCACCTGTGGCCACAGCACTGGCCATTTCCTGTCCCAACGTGGCCACAGCACTGCCCATTCCCTGTCCCATTGTGGTCACAGCACTGGCCATTCCCTGTCCCATTGTGGCCACAGCACTGGCCATTCCCTGTCCCAATGTGGCCACAGCACTGGCCATTCATTCCCTGTCCCATCCATGGCCACAGCACTGGCCATTCCCAGCCCTGCCTGACCAGCCCAACACAGCTCCCACTCCAGGGGCAATTCCCATTCCAGGGGCAGCTCCCTTACCTGGCTCACCCTCATTCTCTCCAGAGCTCCGTCAGTCCTGCTCTCCCTCCTCACTCAGATCCCTTGGGGCTGATTCCCATTTTATTCCTCATTAATAAACAGCAATTACTTGGGGAGCCTCGATAAAGAAATCATTCCACTCTGCCTGAACACATTGAGCCAATAGCCCTGGGAGTTCCAGGTGCTGGCAATAACCCCCAGGGAAGGGTTACAGATTTCCCAGGTTTGTCCAAGGGGATTGAAGCACCTTCAAGGCTCCCTGGGATGGTTTAAATCTCCCAGTGTCCAGCCCCAAGCCTCAGCCCCCCAAAAAACCACACAGGGTGACACATCCAGAGGGGGAGATCCTGGGCTCACTCCACACCCAGCCACAGCAGGATTCACCACCCCAGGCTGTGAGTGCACAGGGAGGTGTGCACACCAATGGCACAGGAGCACACAGCAGCTCAGCTGGATGGGACCAGACCCTTCATCCCCTTCTCCACCTTCTCCCCACCTTCCTTTGTCCCTGTCCCTTTCCAGCAGGATTTCTGTGCAGCCAGGAAGGCTGAGAAGCCCTGGTCTGGGGAGCAGCCCATCCCAAACTGAACCAAATACCTGGCCAAGGAGGAGCACCGAGAACATCAGGAAGGGCAGGACCTGCCTGAGTCAGCTCGGCCTCTCCCGGGGCAGGGAGGGCACAGGGGCAGGAACGAGGGGCAGACGCTGAGCTGGGGACAGGCCCTCCCTTCTCCAGGATGGAGCAGCCACAGGATCCTTCCCTATAAACACCAAAAATGCCCAGGAGCAGCACCACGGGCACTGAATCCAGGGTCCCCCAGAGTGCCCCCACTCCATGGGACTCCCCTGGGCCCTGTGCTCACCAGGTGGGCCAACAGGAGCTTCAGCCTTGGCAAGGAGAGGCTGAATCCTCTTCTAACGCATCCCATGTCACCTGCAAGTCAAACCCATCCTGCTGGAAGGACACAGCACTTGGAAAACCCTCATCCATCTCAGAGCAGAGTGGCTCCAGTGATCCCAGTGAAGAATAGGGTTCCATGCTGCTTGCCCCAAGAATTAAAGGCTGTTTTCATCCTGAGCCATCATCCTTCTGCACCTTTCTGTGGCAGAGGGAGTTTGGGCCCATCTCCAGCATCCAATCATGGAATTATGGGATGGTTTGGGTCCAGGAGCAGCACCACGGGCACTGAATCCAGGGTCCCCCAGAGTGCCCCCACTCCCCAGGACTCCCCTGGGCCCTCTGCTCACCAGATGGGCCAACAGGAGCTTCAGCCTTGCAAGGAGAGGCTGAATCCTCTTCCAACGCATCCCATGTCACCTGCAAGTCAAACCCATCCTGCTGGAAGGACACAGCACTTGGAAAACCCTCATCCATCTCAGAGCAGAGCGGCTCCAGTGATCTCAGTGAAAAATAGGGTTCCCTGCTGCTTGTCCCAAGAATTAAAGGCAGTTTTCATCCTGAACCATCATCCTGCTTCTGCACCTTTCTGTGGCAGAGGGAGTTTGGGCCCATCTCCAGCATCTAATCATGGAATTACGGGATGGTTTGGGTGGGAAGGGACCTCAAAGCTCATCCCATTCCACCTCCTTCCACTAGTTCATGGTGCTCCAAGCCCTATCCTTGGACACTTCCACGGATGGGGAGGATGTGGGACACAGGACACAATGCTCTGCAGGAATTGGGAATCAAAAGGCATCAAGATCCATTTGGATCCGATCACCTGGAGAGGTTTCCTGGGCCACTGTGCTCTGGGAGATGCTCGTGGAGCCAAACTTGTTTTTCCCATGGGCTGGACCTAGGTTTGGAAACTGAATTACATGGAAGAAAAAGGATGAGGGAAAGAATTGATCCTTGGAGGAGAAAGGAGCAGGGACTGCTGCTCAGACAGGTGGGATGACCTGGGATCATGAAAGATCCCATCAGGATCAGAGCAGACACTGCTCCCAGGCTCCACAGCACCAAGTGCCCTCATTCCATCTACAGAGGGATCCAGCCTTCCCAGGGCTGTCCCGAGTGCCCTCAGCACCTCCAGCAGCCCCAGGACCAGGGGTGACCCCTGAGCTGGTACCTGTTGGGATCCCATCTCTGTCTGCAGCCACAGAGCCACCAGAGGAGCCCACCAGGAAGGGACCATGTCACACACCGAGCAGCAGCCACGAGCTATGGCTGCTCCCAGCCAGGAATTTGGGCTTAATCATTAAAATAAACCATCAGGATTACCATGAGAAGTCCTGCCAAGGACCCACTGAGTGACCTGGTGTTCACATGCATTTTCCTTGGAAAGGATGTTTTTGGAAGGTGGACGGGGAAAAACCCCCCATTCCTGGCAATATATTGGAATTCCACCTGAAGGAAAGGTCAACCCCCACAGGAGCAGGTCCCTTTCCCTGGGAAGTCCTTCCCAAACTGCAGCTGCTCCTCAGCTGATGATTCTTGTCAGAGCACAGATCCAACCTCACCTTCCCTCACTTCCCTTGGAAGGGAAACTCCAGCATGGAGCAGACCCAGAGCAGCAAAGCAGCAGCTTTCCCACAAAATGGAAACTGGGATGGCCAGAGAAGAGTGTCCCCCTTCCCAAGGATGCCACAAAGCAAAGCACAGATGGGACCTCTTCTTTCCCAGGCTTTGCAGGAGAAATGGAGCCAAAGCACATCCAGGGTGCATTGGTACCAAACAGGGATTTAAGGGTGGGACACCAGAACTCATCAAAATTCAGAGAGGTTTTGTACCTCCAACTTTTATAGGGCTTTTGGGGAATGGGAATGGGGCAGTCAGAGATGGACTTGGGCACCTGAGATCCACCTCGGGTCCAGAGGTTTTGAGGGTTTCTGGTGCTGCCAGAGCAGGTGAATGAATAACCTCAGCACACCTGGACCCCACTCCCAGGGGGTCTCAAAACCAGGCCTATCCTCCCTAAACCAGACCTACCATTTCTAAAACCAGACTTATCCTCCCTGAACCCAGACCTATTATCCATAAACTACACCTAACATCCCTAAAACCAGACCTATTATCCATTAACTAGACCTAACATCCTTAAAATCAGACCCATCCTCTCTAAAACACCCAAGCACCAGACCCTTGCACGCTGTGCCCATGTGGAGCAGGAGCAGCTCCAGCCACACCAAGCCTGGGATGCATTTCCCAACTCCTTCTTTAGCCAATTCAGACTCTTTATGGTTTTAAACCCTCAGCTATTAAAAAAAAAAAAAAAAAAAAAAAAAATCACTGTTGCTTCCTGAAAATTTGGGCTGGAAAGCAGCCAGGGGCTGATGCCGGCTCCGTGTGCCAAGTCCCTGTGCAGAGCTGTGCCTGGAGCAGTCCTTCCCAAGACTAGCACCTCCAATTCCTTTTCTCACCTTTTAAGGATGAGGGAGGCAGCTGCTGGGGGCTGGAATTACCTGGGAGGGTTTGTTTTTGCTGCAAGGGCCTGAGTCCTCCTCACACAAACAAGCTCCTGAAGAAAGGAGGGAACAGACAGAGGAGGGAAGAAGAAGAGGAAAAAAAAAATAGAGAAAAAAAAAAAGCCAACAGGTTGATCTGGATTTCCATCAAGGGTTCCACCCTCCTCCGTTTAATGAACATCGCAGAACAGGTGCTTGGAATTCATTACCAGCCCACAAGCCCAGCAGACGGGAACCGCGCCGGCCCAGCCGCGCTGCTCCTCTCGGAGGCAGCAGCCCCTCAGCCCCTCAGCCTTCCCGCCCCCGGGGCCCAGCCCGGCCATGACCAACCCCAGCTCTGCCTTCTCCAGCGGCTCCCTGTGCTCCGGGGAGGCGTCGGCGGCGATGAGCCGCGGCAGGGCCGCCGGGAGCCCGTCCCCGGAGCGCCGCAGCCCCGACGGGGGGGCCAGCGACGGCCGCGGCTCGGTGGCCAGCGACGGCTGCGGCTCCCTGCGCTGCTCGCCCTGGCCGCCGTTCGCGCTGGAGGGGAGGCTGCCGCCCCCCGTGCGCCTGGACATCGACACCGAGTTCCAGGCCGTGCGGCAGCAGGAGAAGGAGGACATCAAAGTGCTCAACAACCAGTTCGTGACCCTGATCGAGAAGGTAGGGACAGCTCCTGGATGGGGTGGGGAGGGGCTCTGGGGACCCGGGGTCTGCAGCCACCCCGGCCAGGCTGGCACAGCCGGCTAATTAGTTATTAACTCAATTAGTTGTTCCTTCCGAGCTCTCTGTCTGACGAGGGTTAGGGAGCATCCCTGGGGAGGCACACGGGGGGCTGTGCCTGTCACCCCGGGCAGCTCCTGGGGACCCCCAGGGCATCCCCGGCAGAGTCCTGAGGACACCGTGGGCAGGAGGCACCGTGGGCAGGAGGCCTTGGCTCCCTCAGTGGCCAAACAGCCACAGCAGTGACACCGAGTATGGCGGCAGCTCCAATTCCGGCTGCTGAAGAGAGCTGGAAACTCATCCCTCAAAACTCATCCCTTAAAACTCATCCCCACCTCCACCTGGGCAGCGTGGGGCGCCGGGGGGACCCCCCAGCCGCTGCCGCTGAGCTTCTGAGGAGAGAGGCCAAGAAAGTGCTGCTTTCATCTCTGCGGAGCCGGGAGAAGCAGAAGTTTCTCCAAGAAAACAACTCCCAGAGCAGGCAGGTTCCTGCAGAGCCCTGCTCCGTAAACAGATGTAATCTCTGGGATTGCTTCATGCAGCTCTCCCTGCCAACCTCCAGCAGCCCGGGATTGATTCATTTCAACTCTCCGAGGACCTGAATTCACACTGGGAAGGAGAAAGCTGTGGAACATCTGCAGTGGAGCTCTTCATGGGGGACAGTTGTGACCAGTCACACCTGGCAGTGTCAACAGGGCCCAGGCCTGGCTCTCGTGGGTGGGCACAGCCTCCTCCTGTGAGCCTTTCCAAGATTGTGGCATTGGGAATTTGGAGAGCACCTGGTGTGGGAAACACCCACACAGTAGAGGCTGGATTTGCGCTGTCCAGGTGGAGAGGTTGAGGTTTGCTGGGCCCTCAGAGCAGGGACAGGAGTAAGGGAAAGAGACAAACCCCCACGTGCCTGAGCCAGGCCTGTTCCCTGACACCAGGGAGGGAAGAACTGAGAGTTCCAGATTTCCCAAAAACCCAACCCAGCGACCTCCTGATCCATGTGGATCCTGGGACAGGGACACAAACACCCCTTGGGCCCAGGTCTCCAACTGCAGCTCCTGAGCTCCTTTGAAGGCTTCAAGAGCTGCATCAAGTGGCAACTTCAGGCACCTGCCCCAGGCCCTCATTCCAGAGGAAGGGAATGACACTTCCTTGTCAAAGAGAACCTAGCTTTATAATCAGGGATTCAGCTGGTCTTGATCCCCAGCAGGTGATTCCAGGGATAATTGACTACACAGCTACAGGAGTTTGGTGCTGGAGGTTTTCCAGCTGCTACAGATCTGCTAGTATTTATTTTCCAGACAGATGTAAAAGAAGACAGCCCCTGTTTGAGGCCCTGCCTTTATCTCAAGCAGCACAGAGGGGAGGGTCTGTGAGGACCAAACTTTGGCCACTTGGCTGTTCAGGCATGAAATTCCAGGGAATGAGGCCAAATGTGGGTGATCCCTCTGCAAAGCTCCTGCTGAAAGGCTCTGCAAGGGGAGATTTCCTGAGGAGGACATTGCAGGAGTCGCAGAATCATGGAATGGTTTGGGTCAGGGAGGACCTTTAGGATCATCCAGTTCCAAGCAGATGTTGGAAGATGCAACGAGTTGAGCACAGGGATGGTTTGCTATGCTGACAGGAACTGAGGGATAAAAGGAGCAGCTGAGGATTAGGAAGGAAGTCAGGAATTAATTAAAGGTTAAAGATTGACATGGAACAACAGCCAACACAATCCATTCTCATCCCAGGAGGGAAGGATGAGGTCTCTAAGAGTGAGACCTGGAACATCCCAACACTCCCATCCCTTCTGCTGGGAACTCCCAAGGAATGGTTCTGCTTTGCTTGGCTGCTCTCTCTGTTCAGACAAGAAGAAAGATGGTGCCACATCTGGGTCAGCAGCTGGAATTCTGCCTCTTCTGTGGACCCCAGGCCAAGGCTGGAGGTCTGATGGCTCCTGCCCCCAGTGCTCCGGGCATGGCATCGGCCCTGAGTCATCCCGGAATGCAACACGGGAAACTTGGAGGCAACTCTGGCATCTCCAGCCAAAACGTGACTGGGGCTGCTCCCAGAGGTAGCAATTAGCCAATTAATTGGAGTTGGCCAAGAGCTTTGAAGATGAGAACTGTTAAACTTGGAGTGTTACTGGTGAGATTGGGAATATTGGGAAAGAGGAGCAGGTTCCTCAAAGGCGGGCGGTGGAAGGGCAGCGTTGTCCTCTCAGAGCTAGCACAGGGAGCTCACCTGGAGTCTGTAATTACCTGGGATGTTCTCCAGAGCTTTGTCTGAGCTGCTCTGCAATAAACCTGATTCATTCCCTGAACCTCTCCATGCTCTAATCCCTTGCAATCCAGAGGGTTCCCTCTCTTTGTGCTCTCTGGGGTAGGAAATCTGCCCTTCCCTGACCCTGGACATCCCTGCATGACCTGGGGTGGATCCACAGCCTTGGCTTCACTGTGTTGTACTCAACACCTGGATCTGGTGATGCAGGAGGTGTTTCCAGTAGCCCATTGTCACACACAAAAGGGACAGAACTGACCATTCCTATTGTCAGTGACTCCTTTATCCCGATGTCACTGTGTTTAGCCCAATGTGAACATGCTTATTTTGGTGTCACTACATTTATTCCAATGTCACTGTCTTTATTTTGATGTCACTGTGTTCTATTGAGAAATTAATTAGTGGGTAATGCGTAAAACCCCTGCCAGTCCCCTAAAAGAGGGAGGTGTCCCTGCCCATGCCAAGGGATGGACCTGGGTGATCTTTAAGGTCTCTTCCAACCCAAAGCATTCCATGATTCCATAACCCTCCATCCTCAGGCCTAATTTTGAAGGGATTTCTCATTTTTTCCCTGGAAATCTGCTGGTTAGGAAGGTCTCAAACATCTCCTGCCCTGCCATGCTCTGATTGTGGCCCTCAGTGTCACTGACACCTCTGAAACCTCTCCTGTAGGTCCAGAGCTTGGAGCAGCAGAACAAGATCCTGACGACCAGGTGGAACTTCCTGAAGGACCAGGACAATTCCCACTCTGACTCGGACATCAAGGCCATCTATGAGCAGTACGTGAGCAAAATGAACCAGGAGATGAAGGCGCTCAACTACGAGCAGGAGAACCTGGAGTCGGAGCTGGCAAAGGTCCTGAGCACCATGGACGCCTTCCGGAGCAAGTAGGTGTCCCTGTCCATGTCTGTCCATACCCTGGGGATTCAGCTGGGGCACAGGGGTGGGATTGATTTAACTCAGCCAGCCTGAGATGCCCAGGAAAATATTCCTAGTTTGGTGTGGACAAAGTATGGATTTGGGAGTTTAGGATCACAACGTCCTCCTGGTTAATGAGAGGTGAAAGGGAAGCTGGAGCAATAAAATTCCAATGAGAGCAGGGCTGAGAGGAGCCTCTTGGCGTTGCTGGAGTGACAGCCATGAAAGCAGGGAATGTTTGTTCTCCACAAAATTAGCACAAGCCAGAACTTTGTCCCCAAAGTGATTTCTGGACCAGGCTGCCCAGTACAAAAAACAACACTCCTGGCTACATGTTGGGAATTTGGGGGTGTTCTGGGCAGGGCCAGGAGTTGGATTTGATGGTCCCTGTGGGTGTCTTCCAACTCAGGATATTCCTCATCACACAATGGGTTAGGAGGGACCTTTAGAATCACCCAGTGCCACCCTTGCCATGGGCAGGGACACCTTCCACTCAAAGCCCTGTCCAACCTTGGACACTTCCAGGGATCCAGGGGCAGCCACAGGGAAATCCATTCCAGAGCCTCTCCACCCTCACAAGGAGGGATTCCTTCCCAATATCCCACCTATCCCTGCCCTACATCAGTAGGAAGCCATTTCCCCCCTGTCCTCTGCCTCCATCCCTTGTCCCAGGTTCCTCTCCAGCTCCCCTGGTGTCCCTTGAGACACTGGAAGGGGATCTAAGTTCTTCCTGGAGCTTTTTCCTCTCCAGGCTCACACACACCCATCCCACCCCTGCCATGGCAGGGACACCTCCCACTGTCCCATCTGCTCCAAGCCCCATCCAGCCAGGCCTGGGACACTTCCAGGGTCCAACTCAGGATATTCCTCATCACACAATGGGTTAGGAGGGACCTTTAGAATCACCCAGTGCCACCCTTGCCATGGGCAGGGACACCTTCCACTCAAAGCCCTGTCCAACCTTGGACACTTCCAGGGATCCAGGGGCAGCCACAGGGAAATCCATTCCAGAGCCTCTCCACCCTCACAAGGAGGGATTCCTTCCCAATATCCCACCTATCCTGCCCTCTGTCAGTAGGAAGCCATTTTCCCCCTGTCCTCTGCCTCCATCCCTTATCCCAAGTTCCTCTCCAGCTCCCCTGGTGTCCCTTGAGACACTGGAAGGGGATCTAAGTTCTTCCTGGAGCTTTTTCCTCTCCAGGTTCACACACACCCATCCCACCCCTGCCATGGCAGGGACACCTCCCACTGTCCCATCTGCTCCAAGCCCCATCCAGCCAGGCCTGGGACACTTCCAGGGATGGAGCAGCCACAGGGAAATCCTTTCCAAGCCCTACATCAGTAGGAAGCCATTTCCCCCCTGTCCTCTGCCTCCATCCCTTGTCCCAGGTTCCTCTCCAGCTCCCCTGGTGTCCCTTGAGACACTGGAAGGGGATCTAAGTTCTTCCTGGAGCTTTTTCCTCTCCAGGCTCACACACACCCATCCCACCCCTGCCATGGCAGGGACATCTCCCACTGTCCCATCTGCTCCAAGCCCCATCCAGCCAGGCCTGGGACACTTCCAGGGATGGGGCAGCCACAGGGAAATCCTTTCCAGGCCCTCCCCACCCTCCCAGGGACGAATTCCTTCGTAAAGAAGGAATATTCTATTCCATGACCGTGGAATCTCTTCCTTTCCTATTTCACCCGAAGCATTTCTGCCGAACTCTGCTTTGACCAAAAAGTCAGAATTGTGCCCCAAATGGTCCTGAACGAGAATAGGGAGGCAGCCAAAGGTCGGGGAGGTGCAGCTGCCTCTTATCTCTGGGGAGCTCCTCTTATCTCTGGAGAGCTCCGAGATGTGCAGATAAGAGAGAGCAGCTGGGCCATGCCCGGTCACAGGGGAGCAGACAATGCCTCCCTCATTATGGGGCTCATTTGCATCCCACAGGAGAATCCCAAATGAGCTCCTTTCCCTCCCACTGACACTCAGCATCTTCCTGGAGCTCTGGAGGCTCCCGTGGGGATTTGGGCTGTGCAGAGACTGTCCAGCCCAAAGTGGTGCCAAGGGACTCGGGGGAGCAGAAATCCCTGCTGGGATCCAAACCCACTCCTGGGGTAAGGCACAAACCATCCGTGCCCTCTCCAGGGAGTTCAGTCCAAGGATTCTCCAGCTCCTTAAGCTCTGCTCGAGGTGGCTGCAAATTAGGGAAGGGCTGACAGCTCCTTCTAACGGAGACCCAGCAGTGAAATGCCTTAATCAGCTCAGAGCAGGTCGGAATCACGGAATCACTCAGCTTGGAAAAGCCCTTGGAGATCATTAGGTCCATCCATCAACCCCCTACCACTGTGGTCACTACTGACCCCAAGTCCCCAGGTGTCACATCCACACAGTTTTGGACACTCCCAGGGGTGGGGACTCCCTGGGCAGCCTGTGCCGGGGCTGGACAACCCTTTCCATGGAAATTTTTCCAAATATCCAACTTAAACCTCCTCTGATGGAACTTTTCCCTTGTTCCCTGGGAGTGGATCCTGAATCCCACCTGGCTGCCCCCTCCTCTCCAGGAGTTGCGCAGAGCCAAGGTCCCACCTGAGCCTCTTTCTCCAGGCTGAGCCCCCCAGGTCTCTCAGGAGTTCTCCAGACCCTTCCCTGGTGCTCCAGCCCTTCCCCAGCTCCATTCCCACCTCTGGACTTGCTCCAGCCCCTCGGGGTCTTTCTTGTGAGGTACCCAAAGCCCAGGATTCCAGGGGCCTCAGCAGTGTCAGGGACAGGGAATGTTGTGAGGAATTTGACAGGAATAAGGACCAGGAGTTTGATTCTTCACCTTACACTGAAATCATCCTCCAAGAGTCCTTCAAATGACACCCAGATGCCTAAAAAGTCCTAAATTCCTCATGGGAGGTGCCTGCCTGCTGTGTATTTGGATAATGCAAAGGTCAGGAGCTGCCATCCCTGCAGGGAGCACCTGGCCCTCCCTGTGCTCCCCTGAGGAAGCAGAATCCCAGACTGGTTTGGGTGGGAAGGGACCCTGGCATGGACAGGGACATGTTCCACTCTCCCAGGGTGTCCCCAGCCCTTGGACACGTCAGGAATGGGGCAGCCACAGTCTGTGCTCAGATCTGCATTGAGGAATTGCTCCAGAATTCCCAGCTCCTGACACTGCAGGGTTTTCCAGCCTGATTTCTTAGGGATGAAGGTGCTGCCCAAGGGTTCTCCGCCTTGTGACTTGTGCTTTTTCCAGTGACTTAGACAATGGGATTGGACACAATTGGGATGCTTCATCCCTCAAACTGATTCACAGGGACAGAATTCCCAGGCCCCATCCAGCTCTGGCCCAGCCCAGGGGCATTTCTGGAGCAAATCTCCAGGCAAACCAGGCAAATCCAGGAGGTTTCTTTTCCCCAGGGAATTCTGGGGGAGTTAAAACAAAGAACCAGTTGGATTTCCCACTGGAGTGATGCCCTCAGGCAGGCTGTGGCATTCTGGACGGAACATGCCATGGGCATGGGAACACCCCAAGTCCTCCAGGATGGGAAATGTGCCTGGGGGAGTCCCCCCATAAGGCCCTGGATTCATCCTGAGTCAGGGACTGCTTCCCAAACCCACCTGGATGGGACTCACTGGGACACTCCCACCTTCTCCTCAAAGGATTCTGCCATGGAGCAGCAATTCCAAAGGGAGGGAGGGATGGATGGATGGATGGATGATGATGATGGATGGATGGATGGATGGATGGATGGAGAAAGGATAGATGGGTGGATGATGGATAGATGGGTGGATGGATAGATGATGGATGGATGGATGGATGGATGAATGGATGGATGGATGGATGGAGAGGGGACAGGCACATCCAGAAGGGAACACAGGTACATGCAGGAGGGAGCTAAGCCTGCCTGAGAGCTGGTTCTCTGGATTTTGCTCCATGGAAGGAGCCTGGGGCGAGCAGACGCCGTCTCAAGTGTGCTAAGTGCAGGAAGGGCTGGATTTGCCCTCCTGCAGTGCCCCGGGATTATCTCCCAGGAGATAAACGCTGGGATGTGCCTGTGGAATGCTCCAGCCCCAGCCCGGGGTGAGTCACAGTCCTGGGAGCGTGGCAGGAGCGCGTTGGGCCAGCTGGGCCAGCTCTGCTCTGCCTGGAGCACAGCTCTGCCAGAGCCCGGCTGTGGGACAGACTAGGGCACACTGGGGCACTCTGGGACAGACTGGGGCAGACTGGGACAGACTGGGGCATGCTGGGAGAGACTGGGATACACTGGGAGAGACTGGGACAGACTGGGAGAGACTAGGGCACACTGGGACAGACTGGGATGCACTGGGATGGACTGGGATGCACTGGGACAGACTGGGGCACACTGGGACAGACTGGGAGAGACTAGGGCACACTGGGACAGACTGGGAGAGACTAGGGCACACTGGGACAGACTTGGACAGACTGGGATGCACTGGGACAGACTGCGGCACACTGGGACAGACTGGGATACACTTGGAGAGACTGGGACAGACTGGGAGAGACTGGGGCACACTGGGACAGACTTGGACAGACTGGGATGCACTGGGACAGACTGCGGCACACTGGGACAGACTGGGATACACTTGGAGAGACTGGGACAGACTGGGAGAGACTGGGGCACACTGGGACACACTGGGACAGACTGGGGCACACTGGGACATAATGGGACAGACTGGGGCACACTGGGATGCACTGGGACAGACTGGGGCACACTGGGACAGACTGGGATACACTGGGGCACACTTGGACGCACTGGGACAGACTGGGATACACTGGGACACAATGGGACAGACTGGGACAGACTACGGCACACTGGGACAGACTGGGATACACTGGGACCGACTGGGATGCACTGGGACAGACTGGGGCACACTGGGATACACTGGGACAGACTAGGGCACACTGGGATACATTGGAACAGACTGGGATGCACTGGGACAGACTGGAACACACTGGGGCACACTGGGCCTGGGCTGAGTGTGAGGACGAGGAGGAGGAGGAAGGGGGGCTGCAGACAGGCACTGAGCTTGGCCCAGCCCAGTGGGGCTGACAGCATTCCAGCCAGGCTGACATGCCAGGTGAGGAGCACAGACCAGACAGGTGAATCCCATCAGCCCCTGCTGCCCGGCCTCGGAAAAGCAGGGAAGGAGAGGGCGAGTTCAGCACCGAGGGGGACTCAGGAGGAACCCCAGGAGTACCCCAGGACTGTCACACACTCCTGCCCTTGTGGTCCCCTCGGTGAGGGACCAGGGAGCTGCTTTGGATAATCCCAGCTCAGCTCCTGAGCACGGCTTCCCCCCTTTCCCAACATCTGCCCCCCTTCCCCAGGCACAGCTCCCCATTTCCACACTTTGTACACGGCAGGGAAAGCTCCCAAAAACCTTCTGGGCTCCTGAGAACCTTCTGATGCACCAGACCCCAAGCAGCAGCACACGGCTGCATTCGTGAGCTCCTGTCCTCAGTCTGTTGGGAGATCCCATTTTACCTCGTTCCCACAGGTCTCAGCTTCCCTTAGGTCCATGTGGTGACCAAGCAGCACTGAAAGTCTGAGTTTACAGCCTGGAAATGGGGGCACTTTGGGACCCCTTCCACCAAGAAAGACCCTGAGGGACTGGAGCGTGTCCAGAGCTGGGGAAGGGTCTGGAGAACTCCTGAGAGACCTGGGGGGCTCAGCCTGGAGAAAAGGAGGCTCAGGGGGGACCCTGTGGCTCTGCACAACTCCCTGACAGGAGGGGGCTGCCAGGGGGTTGGGCTCTGCTCCAGGGAACAACAGGACAAGGGAAATGGTCTCAGGCTGTGCCAGGGGAGGTTTAGCTGAATATTGGGAGAAATTCCTGACTGGAAGGGTGTCCAGGCTCTGGCACAGCTGCTCAGGGCAGGGCTGGAGCCACCGAAGCCGTGTGGCTGTGGCACTTGGGGACATGGTCGGGGTGGTCCTGGCAGTGCTGGGGGAGCAGTTGGACTCGATGCTCTCCAAGGGCTTTTCCAGCCTTAATGATTCCCTGATTGCATGGAATGTCATGTGCCCCTTAGGCTAAGAGGAGCCTGAGGGATCAGGGAAGAGCAGGGGAGCCAGGAGCTCACTGAGAGCTCAGCCTGCTCTGATCCACACTCCCAGTGCTCCCACACGTGTCCAGCTGCTGGGGGAGACACCGACCCCATCCCATCGCTCTGCTCTGACCAAGCACTGCTGGCCCCAAAATGGACCCTGTGGCTTTCCTGGGGTTTGGGATCACCACACCCCTGTCCCAGCAGCCAGCAAGGGTTGGAGCATTCCCCAATTCCGGCTCATATCCTTGCCCCTGGACTGAGGCTTTGCTCCCTGGCCCTGCCCTGTCCCACCTGGATTCAAACACCTGCGGGGCTCGTTCTTCACAGGGACACTCAGGACTCCACCCCAGCCTGGTTTGGTTTCCTTCCACTCCATGGACAGTTTTCCTTGAATTCCTTTGCCTGTGTGCCTTCACAAATCACCTGGGCTGAGTTATGACACCAGTCCAGAATTCTCAGAATTTCCACAAGCCAAAGTTTTCTCACTTGGGAAGACTCCAACCCTGGAAGTGAAGCTCTGAGCAGAATGGAAAAGGTTTGGGGTGAAATTGAGGAGTTTGGGCAGAGCCCAATCCCCACCCGCATCCACTGCTCCTTTGTGAAGAACCTGAGGCTGCCCAGCCCCCAAATGAAATCCCAATTAAAGCTCCCTCCTCTCTGCTCTGGGATTCTTCATCCCCAAAGTGCTCCTGGTGTTCCAGGGCAGCTGGAATGTGGCAGCTTCTTCTCACTCCTGCCCACGATGCCTCAAGGAGGGGGGACAAGCAGGAAAAGCAGAAAGTTGGGATATTTTGGGGGTCTCAACAAGACAACTCTGAGTGTCCCTGAGTTTCCCTGTGGCTGATCCCGTGCTTTGGGTGCTCTGCAGGTACGAGGATGAAATTCGCCTCTGCAGCGGGATGGAATTCACCTTCATGGAGCTCAAAAAGGTCAGCAGGAGGGGAAGGGGAACTTTCCCACTGGATGGGCTCTACCCAGGACTGCACAGGCAGGGAAGGGCCTGGGGGTGATCCAGGCTCAGCTGGTTTGGGATAACAAGGTCTGGAGGAGGACAGGGAGGGGATGAGTTCCAGTTCCACAGGAAGGTGAGTCTGGAGTGGCTCCTGAAAATCCCCTGGCAGCACCAGGGCATCAGAGCATCCCCATCCCTGCACCCTGGGATTTCCTGATCAGACTGTCCCTTTCCCTGCATCCTGGGATTTCCTGCTTAGAGCATCCCCATCCCTGCATCCTGGGATTTCCTGATCAGAGCATCCCCATCCCTGCATCCTGGGATTTCCTGATCAGACCATCCCCATCCCTGCACTCTGGGATTTCCTGATCAGACTGTCCCTGTATCCTGGGATTTCCTGATCAGACCATCCCCATCCCTGCACTCTGGGATTTCCTGATCAGACTGTCCCTGTATCCTGGGATTTCCTGATCAGACCATCCCCATCCCTGCACCCTGGGATTTCCTGCTCAGAGCATCCCCATCCCTGCACCCTGGGATGTCCTGCTCAGACCATCCCCATCCCTGCACCCTGGGATTTCCTGATCAGACTGTCCCTTTCCCTGCATCCTGGGATTTCCTGCTTAGAGCATCCCCATCCCTGCACTCTGGGATTTCCTGCTCAGACTGTCCCTGTATCCTGGGATTTCCTGGTCAGACTGTTCCCATCCCTGCATCCTGGGATGTCCTGCTCAGAGCATCCCCATCCCTGCACCCTGGGATGTCCTGCTCAGAGCATCCCCATCCCTGCATCCTGGGATTTCCTGCTCAGAGCATCCCCATCCCTGCACCCTGGGATGTCCTGCTCAGACTGTCCCCATCCCTGCACCCTGGGATTTCCTGCTCAGAGCATCCCCATCCCTGCACCCTGGGATTTCCTGATCAGACCATCCCCATCCCTGCATCCTGGGATGTCCTGCTCAGACTGTCCCCATCTCTGCATCCTGGGATTCCCTGGCCTGAGGGGTCCAATCCCTGCACCTCAGAGCATCCCCATCCCTGTATCCTGGGATTTCCTGCTCAGAGCATCCCCATCCCTGCACCCTGGGATGTCCTGCTCAGACTGTCCCTGTCCCTGCACCCTGGGATGTCCTGCTCAGACTGTCCCCATCTCTGCATCCTGGGATTCCCTGGCCTGAGGGGTCCAAACCCTTCCCCAGCTGCCTCCTCCTCCCCGTGTTGCCTCCGGGTGCCATTAGGCTTGGGAAGGGCTGGAATTGATAAAGGATTTCCTTTGTTCCCTGCGGAGGGGCCACGCCCTGGGCAAACCTGGGCAAAGCTCCCACTCCAGCAGGAGCCAGTGGGAATCAGCTGGAGTTGGGATTTTATATCAAAACCCCCAATTTGGGGGCAGGATAAGGGTGTTGGAGAGAGGGAATGTTCCCCACAAATATCCATCCTGGCTAATTCCATGTTTTTTTCCCTGGCACACTTCCCAGGAAGGGCATTCCCAGACACTTCCATGGATGGCTCCTGAGTTTTCAATAAGTGAAGCTTTTTGTGGGGAACAAAAGCTGGGAGGGGATGGCCCAGCCCTGCCTGGCCCAGCAGATCCTTCCACCACCAAGTCCCACAAAACAAAGGGAAAAGGTTCCCAAAGGAGCCCCACCAGCTGGAGAGCAGTTCCAAACATCCCTGTAAATAAACCTGGGAATGGGTTGGGTGGGAGGGAGCTCATCCCATGGGCAGAGACTCCTTCTCCTTCCCTGTCCAGGGTGCTCCAAGCCCTGTCCAACATGTCCTGGAGCACTGCCAGGGACAGAGCTAGCAGGGCACTCCCTGGGGATGGGGAGCAGTGGGAGTGACTGGCTGTAAATCCAGGTATGGACTGATGGATCCCTCTCCATCCATGCAGGATTTGGACGTGAGCACCTTGCACCGCACGGAGCTGGAGGTGAAGCTCAAAGGGCTCCAGGAGCTGCTGGAGCTGAAGAAAACCATCTACGAGCAGGTGGGAACACACCTGGAGAGGGCTGGGACGCTGTGGGAAACGTGGCATTTTGGGGATTTTTTGGATTTCCACCCACGTGGGAGCTTGGCCAGGGTGTCACAGCCATTCCAGTGCTCAGGCAGGACCTGAGGAGTTGATCCCTCCCCTAAAAACAACATTGGAATGGGGCCAGAACATTCCTTATGCCCCAGAGCCTCTGTGGGGGCCTGGGGTCCCCCCAGAACAGCTGAGAATTTCAACCTCATCCCAAACTGGCTCAACTCCTGCCCCCAGGGATGGGGTTTGCCCAAGACCTTGGCCCATGTGAGCCAAATGTTCAGACTCCAGGAAGAACCCAAAATCCAGGACACCTGGAGGGTCTGGATGCTCTGAAACACAGTCCAGCCTCCTCCTTTGCCAGGAAAACGAGGGGTCCCCAGCAGGAATGACTGCAGCCAGGGGGAAGGGCCTCCATCAGAACACTGACTCAGGCCTGGAAAATGTCACCCAGCAGGATCAGCAGTGTGGGAACTCTCGGGATTTATCTAAATTCCAGCAATCCAAACAATTACAATGCCTGGTGGAGGAATACGAACATTCCATGTGGGAAACTGAGGCACGGAGAGGCTGGAGCTGCCTCCCAGTACAACTGTCCAGGGAGACTGATCGGCTCTGAAATGAGATTATTCCTCATGCAGGGCAATTTTAGCCCAGTTTTTATGGAAATCAGGCCCTGCTCCAGGGTCTCCACCTGATTTCCCATGGGTCCCACAAAAAGCTGTGGTTTTTAACCCCCAATTAATGTAAAAATCTCATCCCCAACCTCTCCTGTCTCACCTTCTCTGTGGATTCGATGACATCAGGTACACGCACATTCTCAAGGGGAGGGAAAATGAAGTAAACTTTGCTTGTTGGGATGGATCAGGAGAAAATAATTTATTAATTCTCATTAATAAATGACTAGTTTGTTATTCACTAAGTGATTCAATATTCCAGATAAACACAAATTTTCTCACCTGCTCCAAGATTAACAAAGAAACTCACAGATTAAACAGCAGTGGGATAAAATCTCCCAATAATCCTGCTTTTTGGGATATGTCTGTGTTATCCCTCAGGTACAGAGCCCTTTGTGAGCCCAGCCAGGGAAGGGAAGGGATCAAGGAACACAATTCCTGCTCCAAAGGGACCTGAGCACAAAGGGAAGAACAAGGGAAGGGGAGGAGGAGAAGGAATTCCTGGTGCAAAGCAGGAGCTGTGCCTGAGATAAGGGAGCAGCAGCTCTGGAGCAAACTGGATCCAAACCTGGATCCAGGGGCCCTTCCAGGCTCAGGGAGGGGAATTTGCAGCTTGATTTATCCAGAGCAGATATCCTGGTGGTGCTCCCGGGGTGCTCCTGCCTCCCTCCACGCTGACATTCCCAGGACAGAGGAGTGGAGCAGCTCTCAGCCTGGATGTGTACAGGGCAGGCTCCTGGTTCCCTGAGGAGCCTAAATCAGGCTCTGGCATCACAAAGAGCAGCCCCAGCCTCGCTGGATCCCACAGCAGAGCTTGGGAAGGGCATTTTCCAGCCTCCCCAGGCTGTGGAGCGATCCACACTGCCTTTGTTTTCCCAAAACTCTCCCATTCAGCATGGATACCAGTGGATTTTGGTCCATGAGCATCAGCTCCAGCTCTGCTCCTGGGAAATGACTGACTGGAAGTGCCAGGGGAGGTTTAGGTTGGATTTTAGGGAAAATTCCTCCCTGGAAAGGGTTGTCCAGCCCTGGCATAGCTGCCCAGGGCAGGGGTGAAGTGCCCATCCCTGGAAGTGCCCAAGGAGTGTGTGGACGTGGCACTGGGGGACACAGTCAGGGGTGGCCGTGGCAGTGCTGAGGAACAGTTGCAGTCTGGTGATCCTACAGGTCTTTTCCAGCCTTAAGGATGCCAGGATTCTCCCTGCTCCTGGACTAGTCCAAAGGCATTGTTTTGTCAGATTTTATGAGTTTGTATCCAAAGATCCCAAACCCCAACTTAACCTAAGTCTGGATTTTATGGAGCAAATAATACCAGATCCCCAACTCCAGAGAGTGAAAACTTGGGAATTGTCTCCCTCTCCACATGGAAGCTGTTCTGCCAAGCACAGCCCACCTGGAGCTCTCTCTGACTACTGGAGAGTAGTGAGAATCTTGGATATGACCAGAATCTTGGAATGGGAATCTTGGATGTGACCAGATGCTGGGAAGAAGTTCTTCCCTGTGAGGGTGGAGAGGCCCTGGAATGGATTTCCCAGGAAAGCTGGCTCCTCCATCCCTGGCAGTGTCCCAGGCCAGGCTGGACAGGGCTTGAAGCAGCCTGGGACAGTGGGAGGTGTCCCTGCCATGGCAGGGGTGGGATGGGATGAGCCTCGAGGTTCCTTCCCACCCAAATCATTCCATGAATATTCAGCTCCGTGTTCTCTTCCCTGTTGTCCCCGGCTCTGCAGGAACTGGAGGAGCTGCTGACAGAAATCAAGGACATTTCTGTGGTGCTGGGAATCGACAGCTGCTCCCGGCCGGACCTGGGCAGGATCGTGGAGGACGTCAGGGCCCAGTACGAGGCTCTGGCCTTGCGGAGCTGGGAAGAGGCCGAGGCCCTCACCCGCAGGAAGGTACCAGATCCCTGCTCCGTGCTGGGAGAGGCAGGGGAGGGACAGGAGGGATTGGCCTGGAAACAGCTGGATCAGCAGGGATGGGAGGGATGGGCTGGGAATGGAGGGAGGGACAAGGCACTATCCGTGATCAGCTCCAGACAGTAAATCCAGAGTTTTGTTACTCTGGGCTTTCCCCACTGGAGGAATCCAGGACATCTCCCAGTGGAGATGGAAATGTCCTTCCAGCTCTCCAAAGGGCAGGAATGTGACTGATCCAGGGAGCCAGGTGAGCCTGGCACAGCCACAGCCAGAGAGGACAGGAACGAGCCCCACGTCCTTCCCCAGGTGATGCCAGGGCACCCCTCCCTCTCTCCACAGCTCACCGACAGCAGCTCCCAGCCCGGCTCCTTCGGGGGGCACCTCCTCGACAGCCGGCGGGAAATCGCGGATCTGAACATCCGCATCCAGAAACTGCGGTCCTGCATCGTGTCCCAGAAGAGCCAGGTGTGTGCTGGGTGGGATAACGGGACAGGAGTGTGCTGGGATAACGGGACAGCAGTGTCTAGGTGGGATAACAGGACAGGTGGGTGCTGGGATAAGGGGACAGGAGTGTCCAGGTGGGATAATGGGACAGGTGTGTGCTGGGTGGGATAATGGGACAGGAGTGTGCTGGGTTGGATAATGGGACAGGACAGGTGTGTGCTGGGGATAACAGGACAGGTGTGTGCTGGATAACAGGACAGGTGTGTGCTGGGATAATGGGACAGGTGTGTGCTGGGTGGGATAATGGGACAGGGCTGTGCTGGGTGGGATAACGGGACAAGAGTGTGCTGGGATAACGGGACAGCGCTGTGCTGGGTGGGATAACAGGACAGGTGTGTCCTGGAGTGGAATAACGGGACAGGTATATCCTGGGGAAAACAAGCACACAGGTGTATGCTGGGGTGGGTTAACAAACATGTGTGGAATTCCCTTTCCCACGCTGCAGTGTCTGTACCTGGAGGAGCACATCCGTGAGGCTGGCGAGCAGGGGGAGGGGACCCTCAGGGACGCCAAGGCCAAGGTGGCCGGGCTGGAGGAGGCCCTGCAGCGCAGCCGGGAGCACATGGCTCACCTGGTCCGGGAGTACCAGGAGCTCATGAACATCAAACTGGCCCTGGACGTGGAGATCCTCACCTACAGGAAGCTCGTGGAAGGGGAGGAGAACAGGTGAGCCAGGATTCCTCTGCCTCAGGTGGGGAAGGGATGCAGCAGGACACCTGGGGGGATGGAGACATCATGGAATCATGGAATGCTTTGGAACCCAGTCCCACCCCCTGCCATGGATAGGGACACTTTCCACAGGCAGGGACTCCTCCCAAAGCCCAGCTTGCCCAAATCCTAAGTTCTGAGTCAGGTACTGAAGGTTTGGTCAAAGAAGGAGCAAATCCTGGTGGTTCCCAGCAGTTCAATCCCATTTCTTGCTCCCAAGTCTTCCTCAGACTCCCCAGGCTCAGGTTCCAGACCTTCTCCAGGTGCTGTTGAAGCCCATCCTGGTCCTACCACTATCCCAACTCCCCCAGACCAGCTCCCAGCCCTTCCCACCCCTCTGGGAGAGCTCAAGCCGTGTCCTCACGCTGTGTCCTTCCCTTCCCAGCATGGAGCAGCCCATTCCCACCGTCATCAGCGCTGTCCACTCCCGGCCCAAGCCTCGTAAGTGCTTTGATCCCTGTGATCCGGGGAGTGGGGGAATGGATGGAAGGGTTTTAACCTTCCCCCCTCTGCCAGTTTCTGCCAGCACCCTGCGGAACTCACGGCTCTTTGCCCGGGGCTCGGGGGACATGGAGCCCAGTGGAGGTGGCCCGGGGAGAGCCCAGGAGCTGCCCGGGACTCCAGGCACCGGGACCCGGCCCAAGTTCAGCCCCGAGGAGTGCTCCTAGGAGAACGGGATGAGCATGGATCCAAAGCACCTGGGAAGCTCTTCCTCCTGAACTCCAGCCCATCCAGGGGATGAAGGATGAGGGTCCTGTCCCGGCTGTCCCTTGGCTTTCCACCATCCCAGTTCACAGCTCCATTCCCAGCTGCAGCAGGAACCACCCCAGGACTTTAGGGACTCCCCCATCCCTCTCTCCTTCCTCTCTACGGCTCCCTTCCCAGGGATTTGCAGTCACCCCTTGGAATGTGCCCAGCAGAGGGAAGTGTCCCTACCCCAGTTTTAGCAGCTACCATCGGTCCCTTTACTGGTGTTGCCAAACCTTTTCCCTGCTCTGAGGGTGGTCCCTGACGGGGCTTCCAAGGAAAGCACCATCCAAATTCCACACTGGGGCACCCTTGGCCACTTAACCCCAGGGATGGATTTGTCACCTTGATTGACAGATCTGGTGACACCCTGGGGCACCCTTGGCCACCTCAGGGCATTTTCCTGCCTTCAGGGGGCCCCTCATTCCTTCACCAAAGCTAAAATGCCTCAGAACTCTTGATTTCCATAATCCCTCCCTCTCTCCAGGCCCCACACAGCAGTTCCAGCTCCTAAAGTCGGGGTATTGGTTCCTATTTAACTGCACTGGGAACAGCCTGGTTGGGGTTGGGAGGGAGCTCAAAGCTCATCCCAATCCCACCCCTGCCATGGGCAGGGACACCTCCCACTGTCCCAGGTTCTCCAAGCTCCATCCAGCCTGGCCCTGGGCACTTCCAGGGGTCCAGGGGCAGCCACAGCTGCTCTGGGAAATCCATTCCAGGGCCTCACTCCCCTCATAGGGAAGAATTTCCTTCCTGAAACTGAATCCAAATCTTGCCTCTTTCAGCCTAAAGCTGGAAAATTCCCTTGCCTTTGTATTTATTGACCTCAGCTTGTACCTGACCCGGCTGCCCCCACTGCCAATCCCAATCCCGATTCCCCAGAGCTCCCAGAGCCAGCCCTGGAAGTGCCAGGTGGCCACAGGTGGGGGATGCTGTGGCCTCTTCCCAACCTCACCCAGAATCCTGCAGTATTTTCCTTCCTGGCCCCAGCCACTGCCACTCAGCCCCCCCAAATTCCCAGATTCTGGGTCCCCATTCCCACATTCCCATAGGATAGGAAGCACAGCTCTGGCTCGCGGGGTTTGGCTGTTACAATAAAGTTCTGTCACTCAGAATCCATCCTGTCCGTGGTTTTCTCTCAGCTTACCAGCACAGCAGGACTCACGTGGGGACTCTGGCTGGGTGCTGGCAGCCAGGTGAGGCTGGAATCGCTTCCCAGGGATTGGCCTGGCACATCCCCGGGAGGAGGGGTGAATCCTTAAAACCAAAAATCACCAAGAATCTCTAACTGTCAAAGTTAGAAAGTGGGAAATCATGGTTCAAGGGCACGGGCCAGAGGGGCAGACACGGGGTGGGATCCAAGGCCTTGGGGACCAAGTTTGGGAGTGAGGGGAACACACTCAGCACTGCTCAGCTTCCCCTTCCCAAACTCCTCCTGCCCCTTTCCAAAGGGGAGTTCCTGCACACCTGAGCACCCATTTCCCTGCAGCCCCTCATTCCAGAGGTGTGCTTTTGGTGCTCCTTTATCCCCACAGGGACTTCCCTGGGAGATACAAACCAGAGCAGGTTCCCTGGGGTGCTGGAGGACCCAAATCTGGGAGCAGCTTTGCTGTTTGCTGCTCACCTGAGAGACACTCTGCCCTTCCAGGGTCAGCTTCCCCTTCCCAAACTCCTCCTGCCCCTCTCCAAAGGGGAATTCCTGCACACCTGGGCCAGGTCCATCCTGGGCACCCACATTTTCCTGCAGCTCTTCGTTCCAGAGGTGCCCTTTTGGATCACAGATGCTCCCTGTTCCCCTGGGGGACTTCCCTGGCAGATCCAAAGCAGCCCAGGTCCCCAAAGGTGCCAGAGGACCCAAATTTGGGAGCAGCTCTCCAGGTCCAGGGCAGGGGATGGGAAGCAGAGGATGGGAAGGACATTCCAGACCAGAGGAAAGAGTTACAGCCAGTTTCCCAGCCTGGCAGGATGGGGAAGGGGGGGCTCTGAGCAGTTTGCAGTTGCTCCCAGTTGGGCAGGGGTAGTGCAGGGCTGCCTCTGGAGCCAGGAACCTGTGGAGCCCTTGGAAAAAGCCCTTGGGAAAAGCCTTTGGAAAAGGCCCTTCCCAGCCCGAGGAACAAAGCAGGGTCTGTGCTCAGGGCAGCCCCATTCCCAGGAGCAGGAACAGGGCTGGTGTTGCCCAGGATGAGGCTGGAATGGGAGCCTGGGACACCCCAGCTGGGGGAACTCGGGGAGGGCTGGGGCTCAGCTGAGGCTCTCCCATTGCTTTTCCTCCCTGACCTTGGATTTTGGGGATTTTTTGCTGTTTCTGAGCCTTCACCACCCATGGGATTGGGAAAGATCCCTGAGGCTGCAGCTGGGATTAAAGGATTGGTTTGAGATTTGGGATTTTAGTGCATTCCTGGACTCACATCCCTGTTCTGGGACAGTCCCAACCCAGCACTCCCCTGTGCCGCTGCTCCCAGCCTCAGCTCCCGAGGGCACCAGGGAATGGCTCCATCCAGCAGAATTCCTGCCCTCCAAGAAGGGAGCTGGGCTCTGCCTGGGATGATCCATGGCTTTGGGAGGCCAATTCTGCCCCCTCCACCCCCCCTCCCTCACTGGGACCCAGCCTCTTGCTCAGGGCAAATTCCCGTGGCTGTTCTCATCCCAGAGTCACAGCCAGCCCCAATTCCAGCTGTAAATTCCCCAGGGAATTGCTGCAGGTTCCAGGCAGCACCATCAGCTCAGGACCCCCCAAAGAATCCCTATCCCAGCCCTTCAAAGAAGGTCTTGGCTGCACCTCCCATGTGTCCAGATCAGTGCTGTCAGTCCAGAATAACACACACTGGATTTACCTTTATTTAGGTAAAAATGTGAAAAAAGGGGGGATACAGAGATGGATGCAGTGGTGAAGGGCAGCCCCAGAAAGTGCCAGGATTGTCACATCCCTGTTTTTGGCTCAAAATGCCACAAAATCCCACCTGGCTGTGCCCTAAAAATTCCTAAGGACTGAAAGGGTCCTGAATTTGGGTGGGGGTGGTGGTGGCGGGGGGGGAAGCGGATGGAAAAGCTCAGGGTTTATGGAAAAAGGGATGGTTGTGTGATGGTTAGAGGGTGCTGGGGGGTGGAGGCATTGCTCACCTTCTCAGATCCATGTAAAACATGGATCACAGCCTGAAGATTGCTGGGAAAACCAGGGTTAGGGAGGGTAATTAACTAATAAATGGGAATTAATGGGATAATTAACAGCATTCCCCCATTTATGGCTTAATAATGGTGTTTTATGGCCAGTTCCAGTGATCCCCTTCAATCAGCCACCCCTGGGGTGCCGGGGCACATTCCCCAGGGGGATTTGGGAGCTGCTGAGGGCATCTGTGTTATCAAGGGATATTTATCCCTCTTATCTCCAGGCCCCTCAGGAATCCAGGGCCCAGCCTCCAGCCGTGCCGCGGTATCAGCTCCAGGCGCTCCCAAGGATGATCCCATCCCTGCCTGGAGCCTCTCCAGCCCTGGACACGTCAGATGTCCGGGAGGTCTCGGACGTGAGACATCCCAGGGGCGAATCCCGGGCTGCTGGAAGCGGGGCTGGGGGATTTTGGGAACAGCAGCAGGGACCCAGTCCTGGCCGCAGGGCCCGGAGGGGGAGCGGCTCCCGGAGCGCATCCCGGGATCCGCGCACCTGGAGCGGCCAGGGACGAGCTCCGGGCTCCCCCTGCCGGGCAGGTGAGGCCGCTGCAGCGCCTCCCCAAAAATCCCAACTCCCGGCTTCCTCCCACGGGCCCGGCCTGCAGAGAAGGGAAACGGCTCCCGAGGAGCGAGGCACGGAGGGGACCCTACAGGGGATCCTACATGGGACCCTACAGAGGATCCTATATGTGATCCTACAGAGGATCCTAAAGGAGATCCACACAGGATCCTACAGGGGACCCTAAAGGAGATCCACACAAGATCCTACAGGGGATCCTACAGGGAATCCTATATATGATCCTACAGGGAATCCTACAAAGGATCTACAGGAGATCCTACATAGGATTCTACAGGGAATCCTATATTTCATCCTACAGGGGATCCACACAGGATCCTACAGGGAATCCTACAGAGGATCTACAGGAGATCCTACATAGGATTCTACAGGGAATCCTATATTTCATCCTACAGGGGACCCTACAGGGGATCTACATGGGATCCTACCGGGGACCCTAAAAGGAATCCTAAAGGTGATCTACACAGGATCCTACAGGGGACCCTTGGGAGATCCTAAAGGGAATCCTACAGGAGATCCTACAGGGGATCCTGCTGCCCAGAGCAGCTGTGGCTGCTCCATCCCTGGCCAGGCTGGACAGGGCTTGGAGCACCCTGGGGTGGTGGGACCTGTCCCTGCCCACTGCTTTCAGGTGTCCCCCCCTGACCCATTCCATGGTTCTGTGATCCACAAGGGAGTTTCTCACCCGCCAGGAGCTCCCATCCAGGTGGGAACGACTCCTGGGATCCAGCCTGGCTGCTCCACTGCTCCCAGACTCGCTGCCCCCGCACGCCTGGAATCACTCTGGGAAGATGGAACAGCTCCCAGGGTGAGGAACCCATCCCTCCATCCGATCCCACCTGGACCAGCGATGGATCTGTCACCCTCCCCTCCCTGGCTCTGGTTGTGCTGCCAGTCCCTCTCTGAAATATCCCCAGATCCCTTCTGACTCCACTTTTTTATCCTTTAAGGGCCAAATCCTCCAGGAACACGCCCAAAACATCTTTATCAGGTGAAAAACCCTTTTCCCATCTGGAATCTCAGCTCCCAGCCCCTCTGCTCCCCAGGAAACAGCTGCAGGTGGGAGCATTCCTGGTTCTTCTTCCACCTCTCCTTCCTTCCCCAGTGGATTTTGGGATGCACCCTCAGTCTGGAAGCAGCCAGGCCTTGTCCCAGTGCACGGAGCCTGGAGAAATCCAGCACCAGCTCAGCACCAGAGGGGAGCCAACCTCCCCTGACATGTGCCATGGGGTTAAATGTGTGGGAAGAGAGATGGAAATATCCTGGCACGGGGAACTGATGGCCCGGGGCTCCCACTCCAGTTCCAAACCCAGTTTAATCCACCCATCCCAGTTCTCCCACAGCTGCTCCCCCACTTCCAGCCAACACCTGGAGCGACTCCAGGGGAGCAGAGGCAGATGGATGCTCCAGGCCCTCTCCTGGCCTGGCACAACTGTTTGCAGGGATGGAAGTGGCTCTCCCCCGGAAATCAGCCATTGGGAACAGGAGCTCCCCAACTTTGGGGAAAAGACATGGGTTGGATTTCCCTTTCCTGCGCCATCCTGGCCCAAACCGTGCCTCAGTTTCCTGGTTTT